TAAGAATTGATAGTGGATAAAATTAAAGTTAGTTAAAGGTGTTTACACAATATTTTTGATTATATTCAAATAACTATATTTATAATTCAATTAATATTATTTTTAAAATATAAAACCAGACTTCAAATGGTAGTTGTCAGTTTAGACACGTCAATAGACCAGCGAACAGCTGAGCCACAGGGTGTCGTGTATTATTAGAAATAAGTGACAGTCGAAGTAATACAATAAGCACATTAATGTATTTTAATTCTGACAAAACTAACTTTAGAAATTGATGAAATATTTAACTAAGCACAAAAAAATATATGCTGATTAAAAATGTAAGTTTGGTTTAACAAAACTTTTTAAAATTATAAATTTTCTAATTATGTATTACATTCAAAAAAGGGTAAAAAAAAAACCTAGAAATCCTATTTCTTGTTGAATTGTTTGCTTATGTCAGCTATACATACATATATACTATATATACATACGTATATATGAAGCACGCGTGCCACTGCTATCTGAAATTTTTCGTCTAATTACAAGAAATTTGTAAATATTTTTTTTTTGTAGCATGAAAGAATAAAATCTGTGATAAATGTTACCCTACCTTTAAAAATAATTAAAAAAACTAGTAAGCGTTATTGTTTTTTATTTATTAACATGGATAATACATACGCATAAACATTCGCTTTAATCTCTACGTAAACTGTTTTATTTTACAATAAATAAATAACCTAGAACAGTCAAACGGAAAGCAAATAAAATTGTTTGCGTTTAGAAACGCTTAAGACGATTTGCAAGCCCTTTAGGTCTTAATATTTACATATAACAAACAAAGCAAAAAATTTAAATTTTCAATAGTATTTAACTGGTCTTAACAATTTTAAAATGACGCATACAATGTATAAGAGGTATATGAAAATTAAATTCTTGCCGAATTCTTTGAAATGTAACAATTACTTTTAAATATTATTTTGTTTAATTTAGTTATTATTTGCGGTAACAGTTTCTCATAATTTTCATATACATATATATGTAAATAGTTTTTTTTTTTTTTTTGTAGTTGAAGTTTCTTTGGTTCGTTTGCTTATATATTTGTTATTTATTAGCCACTAGTTATTGTTCGTCTTTCACAGGTGATTCGTTTCCGTGCTCACCATACTTCCCATTATACTGTTTAAGATATATTAACACTTGCTTAAAGGACATTAAGAGGTAAATTAAGGGTGAATACTATTTTGTATATTTATGTTTAAACTGATCCTAAGTTTATTTCCATAAATATTACGATAACACGTAATGACTAGTTGAAATGACTAGCTGTAAATATGTAAATATGTCAGTTATACGCTAAATGGATTAACTGAAATATTTCGATGGTTTGCTTAAACCGAAATTATTTACTTTATATTACTTGGCTTTGGATGTAGTTTTTGTGTTTAGCTTTCCCTCCTCCCTTTCAGAGACTTAGTCTTCTAGATTTCTAAAAGCTTGCTGTAAGTCTTCGTGAAGTTGTTCATAGTCCGCTTTGATTTTCGCCTCGCCATCCTTGACTGGATCCTGTGTTCAATTCATTGTAAGAAAATCAATGACCCATGTAACTGACCAAAATTGAAATATCTAACTAAAATTACCTTAAATTTCATTGAAGACAGCTGGTAGAGGATATTTCCCATCGCATCACGTATTACATTCCATGTGATTTTGTTGTCTGACTGGGCAGTGGATTCTACAGCATGGCGAGCGAGCTCATAGAAAGCCAACATATTTCTTAACATACCCACTGTCTTGTAAAATGGACACACACGATCATATGGCGAGTATGAGTTTTGTTGTAGAAAGTCATCTTTAACTAATTTTGCGACTTCCAATGTAATTTTATCCGTTTCAGCTAGAGATGCTTTGCCCACCAATTGTACAATCTCAGAGAGATCCTCTTCTTCTTGTAAAATTTCTTTAACTTTTGTGCGAAGTGGTACAAATTCGGGGAAATTCTTATCGTAATATTCATCCAAAGCGCGCATGTATTTCGAGTAGGAAATCAACCAATTGATCGAAGGGAAATGTTTGCGTTGAGCCAATTTCTTATCTAGACCCCAGAACACTTGTACGATACCCAAAGTGGCGGATGTGACAGGATCTGAGAAATCACCACCAGGTGGTGATACAGCGCCGACAATGGAGACGGAGCCTTCGCGTTCTGGATTACCTAAACATTTGACGCGTCCAGCACGCTCGTAGAAGGAAGCGAGACGAGCACCTAAGTAGGCTGGGTAACCAGAATCGGCAGGCATTTCAGCCAAACGACCGGAAATTTCACGAAGCGCTTCGGCCCAACGTGAAGTAGAGTCAGCCATCATAGCAACATTGTAGCCCATATCTCGGAAATATTCGGAAAGTGTGATACCGGTATAAATGGAGGCCTCACGTGCAGCGACAGGCATGTTGGAGGTGTTCGCAACCAAAGCAGTGCGCTTCATAATCGATTCAACGACTCCATCAATTTCACAAGTGAGTTCGGGAAAATCACGAAGTACTTCAGACATTTCATTGCCACGCTCACCGCAACCAACGTAAATAATGACATCAGAATTCGAATATTTAGAGAGTGCCTGCAGATAAACGAGTGTGTAAATAATACGATTATACAAATCCTCAATCCAAAATCTTACCTGAGAAATGACAGTTTTACCGCAACCAAAAGCTCCAGGTATGGCCGTGGTACCACCTTGCACGCAAGGAAATAATGAATCCAAAACACGTTGTCCTGTAAATAGTGGGTGGTTTGCAGGTAGCTTTTCGGTGACAGGACGTGGCTGACGTACTGGCCATACTTGTAACATGGTATGTTTGGTGATTTCACCATCGAATTCCGTCTCCAGAATCACGTCTTCCACTGTGTAATTGCCGGCTGGCGCAATATATCGCACAGTACCCTTGCAACGAGGTCCAACAATCAAACGATGCTTTACAAGCGTATTCTCATGAACAATACCGTAAAGATCACCGCCAGTAATGTGAGAACCGACACGCACATTTGTCGGATTGAAATCCCAAGCTTCGGTACGCGAAAGCGAAGGAATATTCACACCTTTTGGTATATAAATGGAACCGCTGCTCTCGCCAATATCCTTAAGTGGACGTTGTATACCATCAAAAATACTGCCCAAAATGCCAGGACCCAATTCAACCGATAGCGGTTTGCCGGTCCTCAAAACCGGGTCACCAACAGTTACGCCGGATGTTTCTTCGTACACTTGTATCGTGGCCATATCGCCCTCCAGTCGAATAATTTCACCGACGAGTTCATAATAACCCACACGCACCAATTCGTACATAGCCGATCCTGACATACGCTCCGCAGTAACAACTAAACGAAATAAAATAAATTATTTTGAATGAAGATTTTTGTTCAGGTGCTCAAGTTTTCAATTATTTCTCGTTTATGTTTTAATGTTACGGTAAATTTTAGGAAACTCTAGGAAAGCCAGTCAACTTCAATGTTACTGGCATTCACACATATACTGTTATAATTGTATAATCTATTACTCACCGGGACCGGAAACGGCGAAGACGCGACCATATTGAGACTCTCGCTCCTCGTCTTGATAACACTTCAAAGTCGACATTTTTTATATTTCCTGGAAAACATTATTCCAAAATATTAGCATGAACTACTTTAGTTAACATTAAGGGATTGAGTAATATTTGATTATCGATTTTCCGCTTGCACGACTACACCACTCGCTCTTTTTGTTTTATACCGAAAAAATTGTTCTTTATTAGGAGAGCACTTGAAGTACTAATGAAGATTCATATTCATAAATCAGCAAAGGTACTTGTACTTAATTGTATATTCACATTTTTCTAATGTCATTATTATTAGGCCAAATCATTTTAATTATCTCCTCTCCCCTCACATGTATACAAATGTATTCAGCGAAAACATACGCAGCGTATTCTACGCCGTTCACGCACTCTCTTCCTCAATTATCTCTTTGCTATAGCACGCTCTTTTACTCTCTTAAATTTCGCAATTGGGCAAAAGAAAATTCGATTTTTCACCATTTGGCACTTGCAATTTTTCACCCATTGCACTTGTTGGAAAATACCAAACTTAAATTCTACTTTTCACCAGCAAAAAGTACACTATTTAGTTCAAAAATATTACAAAACTGTTGCAGAAGTATTAAATTAACTTCTTTTGGCTTTTATGCGTTACAAAAGTAATGGGAAATTAGGTAAATGTGGATCACAAAACCACTTACTTTCGTGTGGTGTGTACGTAAAGTTTTCCGCTGACTAAAATACACGATGGACTGGACTGAACTAAACTGAATATGAATGGCAGCGATATTTTCGAGTATAGTGAAAATTTAGCTAAAAGAAGGATGAAAAATCGATGCCGAAGTGTGCCAAAACAGCATTTTTAGTACAAATAATCGGGGTCGAAATTAAATCTTAATTATTCTTATACGAATATTTAATAAACTTTATGTACATTTTCAAAACCTTATGAATAAATTACTTAATTAAGTAGATTGTGTTATTTTTAAAAACAGCAAATATTATTAAAATTAAAATCAAATGTTGAACTGAAGATATGCCAATCTTATTGATATTAGAAATATTATTGCGTAAGGAATCATATAACTTATTTTTAAACAGAAGATGATAGAATCGATCTTCAAAATTAATAATAATGCATTTATCAAAATTTTTTGTGATAGAAATTGAATTATATTTGATTACACAAATTGGTATACCTAATAGCAATTCTTTGTGAATACCCTACATATTTATTTTTATTGTTTTTTTTTATATATATACTTATACAAAGTTAGTTAACTTATCCTGCTTACTCAATTTACAGTTATGTGTTGGAAATGCTTCAACGATTTTGGCGTTAATGCATTTCTTGCTGGTTTCAGACGCAACACGTTGTTTTGCAAAATTGTTTTGTAACTATTGTTAAATATTCGTTTTTTTTTTTTTTTTGCTAATACAACGAAATTATGTTGAATTTTTATAGCAATATCCTCCTTAAGTCCCAAGAACCCAAATCAAAATTATCAAATACGCGATTCAAGAGATATTCGGTGTATAGAAACTGTGGCTCTATTGAAAGTGTAAACATAAAAAGTGTGTTAGTGCATATGCAGGTAGGCTTGTGCATATTATTTTTAAAATGCTTGGGACTAATAATTAAAATCTTTCTATTTATTTATTTAGTAAGAAATTGGCAAAAAAATTATAATTTATTAAATAAATAAAAATAACCATTGATATGTGAAAATGCATTAACCAAGAGTTGACATTTTTCTTAAAAGCTCACTGTATATCAATTTTCAGTGAATTCACACGTTAATTGCTTTAAGGAGCTACCAAAGATCTCCTTTAAAGTTTCTATGGGTTTCTTCAGGCCGAATTGATGGAAGAAACTTTTGTGCATGTGCGATCGTTCATCCACAGGGTGTACGCGTTGTACGGTGTGTATCGGTTAGTTTATCTGTTAATTCTTGCAGTGCACTAAAATTTCGGTTATGTCTCGGCGGGTACATTCTTTTCAAATATCCGGTTTTAAGGTTGAAAATATTTGACATCTCTGAGCCGTCACACAGCTGATGGAAAAACTGACAAAGAAATAAATATTCACTCATTCCTTTTTACTATTATTATTAAAAAAAATGAAGAAGTAATCAAATAATTATAGGAGAAGGTAGAAGAAAGTGGAATACAGATAGTTGCAACGTTCAAAGTTTTCCGATAAAATATATTTACTTGTTGTGTTTTAGGGAAATTTAGCATAGAAAAAACATTGAAATAAATTCAGAATAATGATGGTAAGCTAATAGTGCATTTATTTTATATGCCGTAAATCTTACTCAAGCATTTTCATAAAAACAACAACATTTTCTGATATCAGTGACCACTTGCATGAGTCAAAGACATCCTCCCTTTTTTAATTTCATACGCCTATACAGCCGTTTATCAATATCTTTTGTTAATTTTTTTGTTAAGCACAAGACCAGATAAGACTGAAATTACAATTCGTATAAGTAATTTTTTTCATGATTTTCCTTAAAATCTGATTTTTCAGGACGGAACGGATGACTTAACAGCGGCTGAAAATCTGGCCAAAAGTACGCCACTAGGCGTGGAAAACAACATTTCAACCAACAATCCAACAATAATGGAAGTTTCTTCTCCTAATACACAACGGGAAACCGAAGGCGGTAATCCTTTAACAACTAATACAAATAACGGCAGTGGTACTGTCACCTCCGAGTCGTCTTCGTCAGCAATCACACCTGCTGCGCTCGCGGAAAATACTTTGCATGTAGAAATTTCCGATGCTTTGAGTGAAAAAGACAAAGTTAAGTTTACCGTGCACACGCGAACAACCTTGCCCGGTTTTGTGAAACAAGACAATAATGTGGTACGTCAGCACGAGGAATTTGTTTGGTTGCACGACCGTTTCGAAGAAAATGAAGAATATGCCGGTTATATTGTAAGGTTTTAATAGTTATCGAAGAAAAACGAAGTAACTAATTTCAATTAAATAGATACCACCATGCCCGCCACGCCCCGACTTCGATGCCTCACGAGAAAAATTACAGCGGCTTGGAGAGGGCGAAGGCAATATGACAAAGGAGGAATTTAAGAAAATGAAATCCGAACTCGAAGCGTAAGTGCTGAGGTCAATAATAATATTATTATTTAATGATTACATTTTTACTTCAGCGAATACTTGGCCACCTTCAAGAAAACAGTAGCCATGCATGAAGTTTTCTTGCGGCGACTCGCAAATCATCCGGTATTTCGTGTTGATCAGCATTTAAAAGTGTTCCTAGAATATGACCAGGACCTCTGTGCAAAGCCACGTAAGAAAATGGCAATTTTCGGTGGTTTTGTTAAATCATTAGGAAAGACGACAGACGAAATCTTAATGAGTGCAACAGTTCGAGACGTAAATGATTTCTTTGAAAATGAGCTACAATTTCTCATTGAATATCATGGACATCTGCGTGATGCTGCCGTACGAACTGAGAAAATGACGCAACGTCATAAAGAAGTCAGTGAATGCCACCAAAAAATCTCAAATGCGTTGATGCAACTATCAACCGCAGAAAAAGGAAGCATGGAAACCTTTTGTGCTAAATCAGCCGAAATCTTTGAAAAAATTAAGGTAGGAATTATAATATTTGAATTTAATGAAATAATATATTTAAAAATAATATATTTAAAAATATTATTTCATACTCATTTTGAAGAACTTGGAAGCACGCGTCTCCAGCGATCAGGACTTGAAGCTCGGAGATACTTTGCGTTACTACCAGCGGGACAGCGATGCTGCAAAAGCACTCTTAATTCGTCGCTTACGTTGTTTAGCCGCATATGAGGCGGCCAATCGTAATTTAGAGAAAGCGCGTGCCAAAAATAAGGACGTCCATGCTGTAAGAAATCTCGCCAATTTTAATTCCATAAATTTCTTTTCACTCGCCTATTTGCTACTATAACGTTAATTGATTATACATAGTCTGCATTTTTTATAGTCTCCACTGTTTACTATTGTGTATTTTGTCATTGTACTATTCGCGCAATTAATTTAATTTATTCACGTTTTTAATTATTTATAACTTTTTGTACTAGTTCAATATTTAAATTAAAACTTTCTATTCACACTTTTTAAATGCAAACTATACAAAAACCAAACAAACTGCTTTCAACGAATTCATATGCAGCCTTTGGATGTTCAAGAGGTACTTGGTGTATTATTTTTTTACTCATATTATATGTAATTGTATACACATTATACTATATTCTAATGTACTTTTGTTTTGCATTGCCAATCCCTATTAATTATAACACCCATTATTGAAAAACTAAAACGCACCAAAGACCACACAAAATTATCCAGTACTCAGATACAACTAATTAACACTACGCATGCTTGAAAGAGTTCAAAACAAACGATTTTATTTGCTTCATAAAATTATACAAATATATATGTTTCTTTCATTGCTTGTGAAAATAGGCTGAAGCAGCCCAAGCAGAGGCCTGTGAGAAATTCGAATCGATGTCCGCTTGTGGAAAGGAAGAATTAGTTGGATTTCGCAATCGCCGCGTAGCTGCCTTCAAGAAGGGGTACAATATTTCGTTTTGTAAAATAAATAAATGCATTTATTGCAATTATTTTTAATTACAGGTTGGTTGAACTAGCCGAACTGGAGATCAAGCACGCACGCACTCAATATGAATATTTACGCCAATCGCTTTTGGTGCTGAAAGAAATTGCCTGAACTGTTGACTTCTACTTGTTATATTCTTCTCCACATCCTTATACATTTATACATCATATTTACAAATATACGCCAAGCAAAATATATTAAAGCCACATAATAATTACGAATATTAGCTTATATACAATATGTAATATATTATGTATACAGCTGAAGTATTTCTGAAATTGTATTATTGTTCTAAACCAAATTTACGTATTGAATTTTGTATGACGAAATAACGTTAAATTACGATTTTCTAAAATTATTTGATACTGTTCTGCATTCGAATATCATTCCAAAGTGCTTGATTTTTTTGATTTCAAATAAAAGTATTTGCCGTAATAATGTGAATTAAAACGCTTTTAAATTAGTCCACTAAAAGCAAAAAAGTCGCCAGGTGGTTATTAGTAGTAAAAATATTAAATCAAGTCGTAGATATCTAATCCACATGGACAAATTAAATTTCAAAAAAAAAGGTCAATTGACGCTCTTTTCATACACACAATTTAATTGGCAATGCACACTTAAATATTAGGCACAATGAACCCTAGCAACCATAACAGCAACATTTCATATCGACTTATTTGATTCCCGTTATACGTCAGAAACAAGCAAAATTCGTTTATTTTCTAATTTGCTCGTGTAAATATTTTGTATTGCATTTTTATTGTAAGCATTGTTAACTTTTGAAAATGAATGACTTCGGATTCATCGATTACAAAAAGCCAAGTGATGAGTGTAAGGACGATATGCGTACTTCCACATATCGGAGTCATGTTTATATGACTGACACGATGATGGGCAACCATATGCATGCTAAATTCAAAGAACCCAAACCGTATAGCATAGATCCAACCTTAGAGAAACTGCGCACAAGCGACTACAAAGCCAATTATACATGGAAAGTGAGTAAAAATTGTATTTCTTTAGCAAATCGTGTTTATTTTACTATGTTTTGCATTACAGTATGATGATCCAAATAAAGTGATTAACCCCTCGCTTGGTCCAAAAGTGCAACTAATGAAAAATTACGAAGATCGACGTCTACGTTTCATCAGTCGTCCAATGCGACCAGCCAGCAGCACTATGCACCAAGATTTCCTTTGGAATCCTCAAGCGGCACCTGCACCACCTACGCCTATAACTTTACCCTCCCCTGTGGCTGCTTCTAAAGTCATCGTTAATCGTGCTAAACCGAGTTTCTCAAAATTACTCGATCCCGCAGCGACAACGTCACGCCTGTCCTTTGTCCATTACACGCCCGCTGAGTTGATGGGAAGCGTGGCTCGCCACGACAATATAACATTTTGGAATTGGCCTAAATATAATACACAAATTAAGCGTGTTTTCCCCGGACGCGATGACACTCAATGTGATGACAAAGCTGCAAGGGAATGCCCAAAACGCCATTGTGAGTTCCCCAGCTTGGTGCAACATGTGCCCAACTCTGGCATGACAACGGAGGTGCGTGCCAATTACATTGAGCCGATTAAACGTACCATCGACTTTGAAACGGCGCACATACACAATCGTTTGGTATACGAGCCAGTAACACCGTTATCGAAGGAAACTGAATACAAAGTGTACGGTTCCGGCGAGCGTACACTGAAATATGTCTAAAAAAGCTAACGCTTTTTCAAAGACTTGTATTAAAGTACCGTTATTTTCAGAATAAATCATATGGTTTTATAGTTATATACACATTTATTGTTTATTTGTATTTTATTGCTGCTTATAAAAGAGCTTTTACACTCGCATGTTTGCCATACGTCCATGCATTATATACTTATCTGAATATGCAAAATTGATATTTTATTTTTACAAATTTAAGCTAGTAAAAATATGTTATTAAGATCCGTGCGGCACGTTTGTATGTTAATCATAAAAAACACAATAGCTGTGATATACAAGTTATTTCACATTGAAGTATATTAATTAATGACTGAATGATAACATTGTTTATAATTTACAGGTAATCCGCGATAACATGAACCTATGAATGAAAGAAGAATGAAATTAGTAGCTCAACTGGCTAATAGAATTTCAGTACCATTTTTCATAGTAATGTGAGAAAAATAATGATATCTGATATTTTTTTTGTTATGTTATTGGGTAGTGGAAAAAGTATTTTCGTTTAATAGTTTTTACCACACTTTTATGCTGGTATTTATTAAGCGAAATATTGGGAGTATACTCAATATAATACACCTGAAGGAGAGCATAATGCATCACTGTGCAAAAAGGTGTTTAAATTGGCACCAATCTAATTTTCGAAGTTTTGATAAAGATTACGAAACTGAAAACCACTAAAACCGGTTGGGGTTCAAGGTTTTCAAGTTATTAAATTTGCAAGGCTTATCGCCTTTTATCAGAGATAAAACGAATTGCATTCAAGCGGATGAAAGACATAATTTTTCAGAATGAAATTATTTTGCTCTTTAACCCTCCTTCTTGATAGCTCCCAATATTGCTACTAAATCTATAAAATATACAAAAAAGTCAAAATTGATATACATATATATATGTGCATATAATATGCACACAACTGTAAATAAAATTAAATACTTATGTGTATTTCTAATTAGTACAGAATTACACTTCATCTAAACTATTTGCTATTGCCAATTTCTAATTAAATATACATACATACATACATATGTATACATTAAACCATTATTATTGCCAGCAATAACGGTATAAGTGAGGTCCATAGTTTGATATGATTAAAGAGTAACTATTGATTAAAATATTTGTCTTCCGATTATGTAATTAATCAATTCTTTTTATACGTGCGAAAACCATGAGGCAGCAGATTATAGATGGATGTCGACAGCACCAAATCTTCGTCAGACTTCGCAATATTGACTTGCGATTTTGTAATGAATAGTGGTATATCGTTAGGCGCAAATTCCATAATAAATTGTCGACACACGCCACACGGCGTTGTGAAAGCGTCCTCTTGATAAGCGACCACTGCACCGGCAACAAACTCAAGGTATCCCTCCGAAACGGCTTTGCTGATGGCGGTGCGTTCAGCACACGATGTGGGCGTAAAACTGGCGTTTTCAATATTACAACCTGCAAAGATGCGATTGTCTTTCGTGCGGAAAGCAGCACCAACATAGAAGTTACTGTATTGTACGTAGGCGTGCTTCTGGACTGCAACCGCTGCCTGTATCAGCTCTTTGGTAGGTTCATCTGTAAATTAACACATATGGATTTGATTTACATGTACACATACATAAATAACAAACTGTTTTAAAGCCTAATGTTTAACTTCAAGCATTCAATTAACAACAGTTAGATAGCTGGATGGCATTCACTCACCCAAATCACCGTATTTTTCGATGTGTTCAACAAGTTCTGGTTTCTTCAAACCCGTCACCTGGTATATGTCCATTTTATGGAAAAGTTGATATATTATTCAATATCTATTTTAAAATTTCAAGAGCACAATTTCGCACGAACTTTGAAAACTCAACGAGGCTGGTGCGCGTTGCATATATTCTCCTCAAAGTATGATCGCCAACTGAATGATTTTTATTTTGTTTCTTCTTTCCTTTCTGGCCAAGAAACTAATTAGTATAAAAAGCTATTTGTAGTTTCTTTCTTCTGCTCTCCTTATCAATGCTTTCTCTATAAATACAGATAAACGATAGACATTAAATACAATAGTGCCGTGTATTTGCTGAGAAAGTTGGGAGAGTGCAATTGAGCCACCACCAAAAGCGGTGGAAAGTCAAGATAACAGCCAACCAAATTGCATTGGTAAATGTGTAGGTGTGTGTTCTTATACAAAAATTAAACACATGTTATGTGGCAAGAACGATGAGTAATTTTATTGTAAAGTTTAGTTTAGCTTCTAAATTTCTAAATACGCTTTTATTTTACCATTTGTATTCATAAAACCGCACTATTCGTACATATATGTCTGTAAGTATGTCCTGTCTATAATTTAACTTTGTTTACAATAAAATCTATGCATGGAAATTGAATTCGCAGTTCGTATATCCGGTTTACAGGCAGATCTACTACGTTTCCGTTCCATAGTATCACAACTTGGATTCAATTGGAAGAGCAAATAAATGATTAAATAAAAAAACGAAAGCTGATGCCATTCAAGTGTGTATAATCAACGTTTTTTAAATTTAATAAATTCATTGATATATTAAAAAATATAGTACTTCGTCTAAAGGTAGCTGTTTAACAATATTCGTTATTTACAACTATTACTATATCAATTTATTTATTTCCTAGAAAAGAAAAGCTGCGAGGCAACAGATCCCGAATACTTGTAACTAGAACATGCAGCGGGGGACAAGCTGGTTTGGCACAATATAGAGGGAAATCTCTTTGCATAGCAAATTCAGCTAGAAATTGCCGACATACTCCACATGGAGTGGTAAATCCGCTCTCTTGCTGTGCCACCACTGCGCAGGCAACGAAATCGCGCTTCCCATCGCTAACCGCCTTGCAAGCAGCAGTGCGCTCGGCGCAAATTCCCGCCGGATATGCACCGTTTTCTATGTTGCAACCTGTATAAATTGAACCATCTCCCGTTTGTATAGCTGCGCCTACTTGAAATTTGCTGTATGGACAATAAGCCATTCGGCGCGCCTCTATAGCTGCTCTGATTAATTCTTGAGCGTCCGGAGCTGAAAAAGCAAGTACAAACAAATTAGTCACTTGGAATTTGTAGTTGAGCGTATGTATGTACCTAATTCCTTGAAATCGCGTACTTGCTTATCTGCATTGGTATTATATACTATGATGCGTGGCATTATTTAAGCAATAATACATATACATGTAAATAATATATACGAAACCAAATTTTTTGAATGCACGTATGTATATTTTAGATTGTTACAACGCATTCATAAAAAATATATTGAAACAATAGTGTCGAACTTTGATAGAGTGTTCAAAAAATATTGATTTGTTTTTCAACGGTTGTTTACAAAAATATTTGATAAGTTTACTTAATATGCAAAGTACTAAATATTGTTAATAATTGAATTTTTTTCATAAACATTAAACGTTCGGCAACCCTGCAAATGTTTTTGTTTTCTTTGCTTTCAACGTGCTCCGCGATGTTTTATTCGTTTATTCCCTTTCTGATCTTCTAAACAAAATAGTGAATATTCGCTTAAATAAAGTTACAAATTCCTTTTGAAATTTTTGCTATCGTTAATGCATTGTGCTTATTGTAATCGGACTCTTGCTGAGGACGAAGATTGTCTGGAGTGCGTAGAATGTGATTCTGTGGTACACGCAAAGTGCCTACGCACGTGTCGGCCTGGCGATTTATTAGGTGATGTTTTCTTTGATTTCACCTGTGCGGCTTGCATGAATTTGCAAAATGATGCGCCTTCTACCTCAATGTCGGCTAAAACCGCAGCTCCTCGTGAAAATTTCGTGCGTCAGCATTTGTCCTGGTTCATGATTGTGGTTTTAACACTATACAATTTATCCGTGAAATCGAAAGGACTTAGTCATCATGGCTTTTTCCATTGGCGTTCGCATATCGTGAGTTTTATTAATAAGAATTGGGACTTTTTAATGGAACCAGGAACGTAAGTAATCATTTCACCCTCTATTATGATAAATGTAAAAATATGATTAAATGGCTTTAGACGACGACGCAAAAATTGGTTCGGTTCCATCTCCGGTAACTTATCACATTACAGCCCCGAGTTTTTTTTATCCGGCCAAGAAACTATCCAAAAATCAGGTTGGTGGCGTCTAGCTCAGTCTAATTTAACTCCAAAAGCTATTCACAAAAAATGTAAGTACCCAGAAGAAAATAAGTTTACCTACTGAATTAATCATGTTCATACAATATTTCAGATGAAGAATTTAGTCAGAAGCGTTCACAGATGCGCAATGACAAGAAAATTCATGAGGATATTGATAGCGCTGATGAACAACAGGATAGCAAGCGTAAACGTCGTAATGATTCCGATGATGATTTGATACCCATAGCTAATGGATGCAGCCGTACACTGTATTATTATAAAATTTGAATATTCTAAACGTTTTTTTTTTTAATAATTATTATTTTTCATTTGCAGTCCATATATGGGTCGCACACCTAAAATAGCTAAGCAGCTTAATATAGTTGATGATGACATTAAAAACATACAACAACAGCAACCACTTAACACTGTTCAGTCAAGTTTAATGGACTTTTTGGCAGAAAATTTAGCTAACTATGATTTATTCAATTCCTTGCCGAATATTTCCACAGACACTCTCGGTGGTGGAGATGAAAAAACAGATTTTCTGCCGCTACTTGAAACTCACAATGATAATATAAATAATTTCAGTCAATTAAAAGCGAAAAGCAAGATTGATTCTGATGTCACTAATGCAAATACGAAGGGGCCTATAGCTGATAAATTCAAAAGCTTCTACAATTCAGATGATCACCATGAACAAAAATTGTCTTCTTTAGAAGTCTCTGAACAATTGTAATTTTAATTTAATTATTATAAAACCTCATTACCTATAGTATATTAAATGCTTCGCAGGTCTCAAGAAGATTCTATGCAAACGCCATCAGAGTACAGTAATGATCCAGATGACGACGATGAATATCAACCGCGCATAGTAAAAGTAACCAATTTTCAACAGCTCAACTCGTCTCCAAGAAAAGAGCTTATCGGCTCAGTAGGCGAACAACCTGTGTTATCTCAATTGAATCACACAGTCAAAAAAGAGATAAAATCTGAGGCAGAACAAACAGAAAGCGATGATGCCACATGCAAAGCTAAGGAAACAGTTCAGAATCCTGAGTCGGATAATGAGGCTGAGGGAAATACGACCGTTATGAGTGCTTGCAAACCTAGCCTTTTCACAAAAATACCACGACGAAACTGGCCATGGTTGATAGAAGAAGAAGAGGCAGCCGAAGATCATTTAGCCAACCAAACCGTTGAAAAAAAGCCATTTCAGGAAAATGAAAGGTACATAGTATAATAAAAAATAAAAATTTAAATTTGTTTTAAAGTAATGATCATTACAGTTTAATAATGATGAGTGAATACGAAGAAACTGAACTTTTATTGAAGCTACGTAAAATATTCAATATGGAAGAAAAATGCAAAATTGATATTCCCGCCTATGTACGGCGTTTCTACAGAAAGCTTTGTATCCGAGAATGGAAACGTGAACATGGCAAGCCACTTTTCAACTTAGACGATCAAATAAATGGCAAGAACAGCGATTTACTGGCAAACGAAGCCAAAGCACAAATCATTGATAGATATCAGGTATGTTGAATATTGATAAGTAATGAGTATAAGCGATATAATAAAGGAATATGCCCCGCTTTCTACAAACTCTTGCAGCTTATATCGCTTTCTTCGGACAACATACGCAAATCGTTCTACGCACGAATCGCAGGATCTTTTGACTATGAAATGTTTGAATCGCCATATTCCCACCGAATTTTACATCCGTTCATCTACAGAGATAAGGAAATAGCTCCACCTTGGTTGAAGGTATACTTTTACCATATTTAGCTTTGAAGATACTTAGATTTAGAATTTCTACTTCTGCTTTTCAGCTCATGTGCGAGCTTCAATTTACTGTTAATAAACAGTATCCGTGTCGCTCAACAATTGATTTTTGTTATGTGCGCCCTAATCACATTGCTGCAGTCAACGCTTTACTACAAACAACCTTTTGGCCTGGGATCGACAGTAAGACAAAAGTGACTTCAATTCTCTTATGTTCACACACCCAACACGTATTTATTTTATGATTGTATAGTGTCTGAATGCCTTCGCTATCCGGATTATAGTGTGGTAGCGCTCTACAAAAAGTTGGTGGTCGGTTGTGGTTTTCTTGTACCTGATGTCGGTTTCAATGAGGCATACATTTCCTTCATGGCCGTTCGACCCAATTGGCAACGTTGCGGCATAGGTACATTTATGCTTTATCATCTTATACAGGTAACTTATTTCTTGAAATTTCATTAGGGTCATTATAGCTAGCACACATTCTATTTTTATTTTTAGACTTGTATGTCAAAGGACATAACGCTGCATGTATCCGCCTCTAATCCCGCCGTTGTGCTATACCAAAAATTCGGCTTTAAAATGGAGGAAGTAATACTCGATTTTTATGAGAAATATTTACCCATCAATTCTAAGCAGAGTCGAACTGCTTTCTTTTTAAGGCTTTTGAGGTCATAGCATTGCGTACTGTATTAAAGTTATAACTTATACAAATTTAATAAAATAAAAAAATATTATATTTTTGTAATCGGTGAGTTAAATATCTTGTATGAGACATTGCTAAATGAACCCTAATTTATTTAAAACCGGATGACAAAATGTTTAGAATTTACTACAGCTTACAGGTGTTGTATTAACTTAAGCAAATATTTTCTCCTCTCGTCTCTTCTTAGTGACCACTGTGCCCGGCTTATGCTGTGCATCTGGATGATTCATGAGCTCTGGTGGACAAATCGACACCGGGCTAGCCATTACACATTGTTTAAGGTCATAGAATAGAGCGCTGTCATCTTTTGTAACAAATGATATTGCTACACCATTCTTGCCGGCACGTCCCGTACGACCAATACGATGTGTGTAATCTTCAATTGTTTTCGCCATATCATAATTGATGACTAGAGACACATCTTTAATGTCAATACCGCGACCAGCGACATCTGTTGCGACGAGCATATCTTTGGCACCGGACTTAAGTGCTGCAAGTGCATATTCACGTTGCTCTTGTCCTTTGCCACCATGAAGCGTACAGGAATTGTAGCCCAATTTTTCCAAACCTTTGGCCAAAACATCGGCGCCCTTCTTTTGATTCACGAAAATGATGACTGGCGGCTCGATTCCCTTGGAAAGTATTTCCATCAATTTCTTACGCTTGTCGTGTTCGCCCATCATGAACACGATTTGCTCGGTACGTTCAGTTGGCTTGCCTACTGAACCAATGTACACAGTCGCTGGTCGCCGCAAGTACGATCTTGCTAATCGTTCCACAGCTGGAGGCATGGTAGCTGTAAACATTACAGTTTGTCTAAAAATAAAAATTTAACAAAAAAGTGATTTAAATAATTAAGAATAACAATAAATAATGGTAAACACGAACCTATATTTCTTTTTGGAGTAGAAGTTTTCCATCAATTTACTCGCATCTTCAGCTTCCTCACTATCGGGTTTTAAGTTTGTTACCGGCATGTATTCAAGAATCTTTTGTACATCGGGTTCGAAACCCATATCAATCATACGATCTGCTTCATCCAATACTATATATGTACATTGGCTCAAAACTAGGTATCGGTTCTCCAATACATCGATTAATCGACCAGGTGTTGCAATAACTATTTCACAACCCAAACGGAGGCGGAAACCCTGCTCTTCACGTGATAAACCACCGACCACAACCACCGTTCGGATGCCCAGTGGTTGACCAAATTTGATCGTTTCTTCTTCTATTTGTTGTGCCAATTCGCGTGTTGGTGCCATTATGATAGCGTAGGGTCCTTGATCCGCGTCTTCAAGTCGTTCAATTTTTGGTAGTGATTGAATCCATGATAGCAGAGGTATAAGAAATGCTAGAGTTTTACCAGAACCAGTTTCGGCAACACCAATGATGTCGCGATTTTGCAAACCAATTGGTATTGCTTGGCGTTGAATAGGTGTAGGTTCTTTATATCCCACTTTATCAATAATTTCTATTATTTCTTTTGGAAAACCTGATTCCGCCCAACTGCGTATTGGATTCGGAATCTTACCACCTTTAATAGTAATATTGTAATCTTCTCTGAAAATACGCCAATCGCGTTCGGTCATCTCTTCATGAGCTTTTTCAGACCAATGCCGATCATCCCATTTTTGCTTGTCTTCTTTACGTTTTACCTTCTTTAGACGCACCTTCTCTTGCTCCTTCTCGGCTTCTGTACGTCGTTTCTCTAATAGATCTCCATAAAACTTACTCTGTGTACGTTTTTGTTCTTTGATATCGATTCCAGCAACATTACCACGACCGAAAAATTGTACGTGATGTCTTTCCTTATATAAGTTGTTATAATCAATAGAGGTGTCCTCTCCAGCATCCCAATCAAACACAAATTTGCGATCATTAAGTCTTCGTACACGTCGCTTTTTCTTTATAATACCTAAATAGCGTTCACGTATCGCTTCCAACTCCTTTTCTTTATCCTTGTGTGAAAGGTCTTCAGCGCGTTTACTATCTCTATCCCTATCCTTGTCTCTGTCTCTCTCTCGTTCCCTATCTCGATCCCTGTCCCGGTCTCTTCCTTTTTCTCGGTCACGACGATCATAATCTCGTTCACGGTCTTTCCGATCCATTCTTTCATTTTTAAGTTGTGTGTGTGACATCCCATTATTGACACTATCGGTTCCAGCAATTGCAGCAGCAGTTGCAGCACTTTGAGCACTTCGCATAGCAGCCACTTCCTCCTGACGTCGTTTCAAGGCCTCGGCAGCTCTTTGTTCTTTGGTCAGAAACACAGGCTTGCTCCTTGTTTCCTCTTCCTTTTTCTTCTTTTCCAGTAGTTCTTCGAGTGAAAGCGGTTCTTTTTTAGTGGATTTGTTCTTGTCGTCATGCAATTTGACATCTTCCAGTTCCAAATCTTCTTTGATGTTCGGTTTTTTCTCCTCTTTTTCATCTTTCACTTTTTCTTCTAAACGACGTTTGTCCGCGGCCTTATCTCGATCTCTTCCTCGAGACCTAGAACGGGGTCTATTGCGTTCTTTTTCCCGTTCCCTTTCACGGTCGCGGCCACGATCTCGGTCACGCTCCCTTTCATAATCCCTATCACGGTCACGATCGCGTTCTCTATCTCGGTCTCTATCCCGACGTTCCCTTGAATGTGAGCGGCGTCTTTTATCGTTGACCATACTATCTTGCCCAAATTTTACTTTCTGAAAAAACACGGAATTGATAATAAGAAAATGAATGAAAAACGTTTATAAACTACATTGATGTTCCGCTAACAAGTCTATGACATTTCAATTCACCTTCTTTGCACACTGCAAATCACAATAGCACAAACACGAAATATTTTGACCCGCTGCAGAGTGGTGGTTTCCATACATGTATTTCAACAAATCATTGACAGGTCCAAAATTTTCCTACTTTGCGTTAACATTATTACAAAACTCTTCCGCTTTTCAATTTATTAAATACAATATCTTTCTATAAAGGAAGGCATTCATACAGAGACTATAACTTTTTTGAAATACGTATTTATGCATGGTCTGTATACCAGTTTTTACTTAGATTCATCTGTACAGATTGTATTGTGAATGCTATTTATTTAAGAAGTAGCATTAGTTTACAATTTTCACAATTCAATGGTTCATATAAACAAAATTCGTTTTTACTAAAAGTGGGACATATTTAACTTGTTCTTTTATCATCGTAAAGCTTTGTGCACCGTAAAGAACATAAGAAAATGTCGTCATTCCGGAAAAAGGTATACAAATTATTTCCTTTAATACAACATAATTAGTAATGAATTTCTTTAGAGCACCAGCACAACAGAAAGTAGTTCGAGTTCCTCATCCGGCAGTTCTTCTAGTGGCAGTACTAGCTGCTCTAATTCTGGCAGTAGTTCTTCCGATACTGAATCAAGTAGTTCACCTGATGAGAAAAGTGGGGTTGAAGAAGTCCCTTCAACAACTAAAAGCCAAGCAAATACTCGTCGTAAGAGTTCGGATATCAAAACTACTGTAAAAGCAGATAATGCCGATAAAGCCGATAAAGCTTCTTCTAATCAAACAGTTTCTTCTAAAACACGACCAAATAACAGTAATACAACATCTTTGCGACAAACTCGTGTAAGCAACCCATCGAGTGATGAAGAACTTCCACTCAGTAAAAAGTCGACAAGACCATCAGCAACAAACAACACCACACAAAAGCGTAAACTTTCAGCATCAAGTGCATCTGCAACTCAAAGTCAAAGTAATCAACGAGCGACTGGTGGTAAAGCACCACAAAACAATTCTGGGAGATCAAATCCGCAAGCAAACAAAAACTCCGGTACTAATCCGAAGTCACAAAACGTTACTTCCAATGCTGATACGGGCTTAGATGTGAAGAAAAATTCGGCTGCTAAATCACCACAGAGATCGGATGACTCAGATCGAGATTTATTTCCATCTAGTCGAAATAAGTCTGAACGTAAAGGCCAAGTAAAACTCTCAGCGCAGGCTGGTACTACAGCAGTTGGTAATAACTCAGATAATCGATCAAAGCAATCGAAATCTAAAGTGCAGCCTAAGCGTAATGTGGTTGCGAAAAGTAAGAATAAAAGTTCAGATGAAGACGAAGATGAAGAAGATTCCGAGTCAGAAAGTGGAAAATCCACTACTTCAAGTGAGTCAGAAGCAACTGAGAGCAGTAACTCCTACGATACTCAACCCGTAAAATCAGTTAAAGGGAAACGAGCACCTACTGCGGCAAAAATTACGAATTCTGATTCGGATGATGAGGCTCCTCGTAAACTTACCCGTTCTCTTAGCACTCGGCGTTCCAGGCAACAACAGAAATCATCTGCTGGCGTCGGTGGCGGGACAGAGAGTGAATCTGATGCCGACTTAGATATGGAGAAGCATTCTTTATCCAAGAGCCCCGCTAAACGTTGCGTTTCCTCCAGTGGCGGTAGTAAATGCAAGGTAAAGAAAGAGATTGGAGTGTTTGGTACAACACCGGCCAAACCACGCTCACTGTCACCGCCTCAACATTTAGAAAAAAAGTGTCCAATAGAAGGTTGTGATTCTTCGGGACATTTGAGCGGTAATTTAGACAGACATTTTTTACCAGAAGCCTGTCCAATTTACCATAATATGTCGGCATCCGAGTGTAAGGAACGTGCTAATGAGAGACAATTACGAAATGAACGGCGCATACTTACTAACGATTGCAATTCAACTAATGCTGATGGAAGTAATCAAAAACAGCGCACTACTGAACAAACCGAATTTTTGACGAAGATTCGCGAGTCACGAACGAGATTTCGTCCAATAGCTGCAGCGATAAATACAGAGAAGGTCAAACTTGAAAAGGACTGCACTGATGAAGATCGAGAACCTAGTCTAATAGGGTTAGTACCCGATTATGATCTACAACTGTTTCGCGATGCCCAAGCAATCGCATCCGAAAGAGTTGAGGATGAATTGAAAGACCTGCCTGTGGGAAAAGGCATTAAGTGAGTCAATAAAAAAAATAATAAAAAATAGTATAAAAAGTAAATTTATGCAAATTACTTTTCAGATATATAACAATGGGCAAATACAAGATGAAAGTTTGGTATCAATCACCCTATCCCGACGACGCTGCGCGTCTACCTCAAATGTATATATGTGAGTTCTGTTTAAGGTATCAAAAATCTGAAACTGGTATTAAGCGGCATGCCGAGAAGTGTGTATGGCGTCACCCGCCAGGTGATGAAATATATCGAAAAGGCAAGCTGCAAGTGTGGCAAGTAGATGGTAAACGGCACAAACAATACTGTCAACATTTGTGTCTCTTGGCGAAATTCTTTTTGGATCACAAAACCCTGTACTATGATGTGGAACCATTCCTTTTTTACATAATGACTTTGGCTGATGTCGACGGTTGTCACACGGTTGGATACTTCAGTAAGGTAAGTTAAGTTCAAGCTAAATAGAATTTTCATGAAATTAGGTATACATACATTTGTAAGATCTACCGAATTTTTATTCTGTTAAAACCGAATCAAAATGCTGATCAGATCTGCATCTTTTCCTACTTATAGATTGATTTTCTCATGGGAAAAACATATTTTTATTAGAAATAATTTATTATTCTTATAATTGTAGGTGATATAAATTCATTTTAAGTGAAGGAATACTGTAGTTTTTGTAACTATGCTGTCCAATACAGATTTTTTCATACATATTTCCGTTACTTAAAACTCCAATAAGAAGTCCAATTGGACGAAATTTACTTTGAGTACAGCAAATTTTGTTCTTCAAAAAGTGGTTTTTAAATTTCAAATCATTATTAGATTTGAATGTGCCTGCATACATTCATAGTACATACATACATATGCACATATGTATAAACAATTTTCATTTTGGTTTCAAAAATAGTAACTGTATCTGTATGTTAGGGATTTTTCACACCCATAATACTATACAACCATAGTAGTATGCACTTTGTTCTTGACCATACCCAAAAATGTTGTAACTGTAATCGTAAAATATGCACACAATTTGCGCCTCAGTTCCTCGACCTGCCCCGACTACAATTCGTGGCTGTTTGCCGGAGCTTCTGATGTACGCGCATGTCTGGATCATGCCGTTGGTGTGAGAACCAATTGCATGAACAGCGACTGGCATGTGGCAGGAGGAGGTGATGACCGGCACGACAAAATATCATTGATTTTTTTGTATTGCAGTGGTGCAGTAGTAGCCGGGAATGCATATAACGACTCGAGAGAACAACAGCAGACTGGGTTTGTGTTACAAATTGCGCATGCCGTGGTAAGACCGCTTACTGTGGTTGCCAGCGACTGGTGAGGCACCTCGCTGTTGTTGTTGTAGTGAAAATATTTCCCAAATAATTTTGAGGAATACTGTGGAGTTGAGAGTACTCGAAAGATTAAATAACCGGGTCCGTGTCGTTTATAGGGATCGAACTGTCATAGGGGAATATGGTACCAGGTGGCCGATGTTTGGTATAGTCTGTCCAATTCATTGGCTATACACCTCATTTCGAGTTACCAATTACAAACCTAAACCCTGTTTTTGATATATGGGTGTTTCGGGCCTCAAAGTACGTTCAGGTCTACACGCATGTCTGATTACCGCCTTTCGAATAAAAGAAAAACGCGTAGCTTTCTACTATGCAATATTGTCAAACGTTTATGGATTCTCACATCCATTCAATTTTTTCTTTTTTTTTTGTATTGGCTTACGATCTAAGAGCAGGTTGACGAGTAGAGCAGGTCGGCATGTGAGCCGTGATGAATGTGCGATTTGGAGTTGTTGTATGGATGCGTGTGCACCATGAAAATGAGGATTTCGGAGTGTTACTGCTTCGCCTATGCTTTTGTGGTAGGTTCAAAGCTTTGCATTCTATTGGTTGCCGAATCGTTGATGAAATTCGCTAGAAACCAGAGGTTGAGAAGCGTCCACCTGCGCGTATATAAGTGGGAGTTGTAAGCATATATATAAATATATATATATATGTATATTTAAGTAACAACATTCCCACACATACATATGGACGTTTTTCAATGGGTATTCCCCTAGGAATGAGACTCCACTGTCACAAACAACAAAATTCTCATTCAGCCAGTGACCCACTCAAACCAGAAGCACCCGCTCCACGCCATCAAGCCATGGCTGGCAGACATTAAAGGCAGACGGCACTCGTTTGCTATGCCAACAGCAACGACAACGACAACAATAATAACAATCGAAATAACAACAAACGACAGACAAATCGCAGACGATTGGGAAGAGAGCAGACAAGTGAACGTGCGCCGTAGTCAGTATCGACAATAATAGTCTCGGATTCGGTCTCAACCACTGCCTCTCCCATGGCCCGTTCGGCATGCAAGTCTRTGTCTATGCACATATATATGTATGTACATATGTAGGTGTGTATGTTTGTAAGTAAGTAATTTACGTCGTCGTCGCCAGCGCAGACGCGAAATTGGAAGCTTCGGATTGCAGCCAATAAACGACGAGCGGCAGGCAACCTGAGTGGGGAGCAGGGGTTGTGCGCGCACAGTTGCTCTCTGCGACTGGGTGCAACGTAATGAGGTCGTGAACCTTTTCGTGCATTTCAGGGAGCACCTATGTACAAATGTATGTATGTACGTACCTAACAATGGAAAATCGCCATATCTATTGGCAAACTGGAGTTTAGAGGCCGGGGAAAACGGTTGCGCTGCCCTGGACGTTTGGGCAGCATCACAAAGGATGCAGCAGCATATAGCAGCTGCAATTTACTCCATTTTGGTGCTGTTGTTACTACACAGGCGTCAAATTTTCGGTTGTTTTTGGAGCGTTTGTATTTTTCTATTTTTTGTTTGCATTGTTGTTGTATGGATATTTCTGTCTGGCTTTCGAGTTTTCGAGTGCAATGGCATGGATACCGGCATGCCATTGGTGTGAGACTACATTCGCCCCACTTAAAGGATGCTGACATTGTCTCCGCCGGCAGTCTGAACAACGTGGTGGTTGCTTTTTTTTCGCAACCGCGATCGAGTGCTGGTATGGGCCAGGGTACGTATACGCCCAGACACAACCTAAATTTATGTACACAGTACGTTCATGGCACATACTCACATGCATAGATAGTGGGCTCTAGTCGCAACGGCGGCGCCCTTCACTTTACACACCACTTAAGTGTCTACTATCGATATGTTGTGGTCAATGAACCCCGAAAATGCAAACTTTTGTGTGACTGTTCAAAATTCTGTTCCTTGTTTAAATTTGTTCTAAAAAAATCTTCTATTTTTGGCTTGTTTCACATATTTATGAATGTACATATGTATGTGTATTGAATTTTATTAAATAATAAACCTTATAGACAGTAAAGGCGAAATGAATCAAATGTTATTAAATAAAAGAAATTATACACCAAGCGGAAGTATAGGCAACTCGAGCTCTTACTCCATATCCAAAACGAAAATATTCTAAAAAAAAATGTTTAGTTTTTAAATAGGGTTTTTGTTTTAATTCCTTTCTGTAAATATGTATTTGTTCGTTTAAGGAGGTATGGTCTTTTAAAGGCATTTTCCATTAAAAAAAAAATAAAAAACGTTTTCTTAAAAATGTTTTTATATGATTTTTTTTACATTTAAAGAATACACAAAACAAAAATCTTCGAATGACAGGCTGGTGGCATAGTGGCTGAGAAAACAAGGTTATTCGTGGTTGATATGATTCCCTTGTAGTGATCTAAATCAAACAAATTGAAACATTTTTTAATTGGAAAGATGTCCCTATCGGATTGACCTTGCCATAGGAAAAAATTCATAAAATGACATCGACTTGAAGAAAAATATTACTTGCTTTTATTGGACCTTTTAAAATTGTTTTAAATTTAAATTTTTGAAAAATTAAAAACTTCCAATTTTTTTTAATTAAAAATTTGAAATTTTTTGAAACTTAACATTTTCTAATTTTTTTAAATTAAAAATTTGCAATTTTTTGAAAATTAAAATTTTCCATTTTTTTTAATTAAAAAATTCCATTTTTTTAATTGAAATTCTCCAGTTTTTTTTAGTTGAAATTTTCCAGTTTTTTTAAATCAAAAATTTTCCTTTTTTTATTAAAAATTTCCAAATTTTGAAAAATTAAAATTCTCCGAAACCCGAGGCAGCCGCTATAAAAAAATTCATAATATATTCAAAAATATTAAATTCAAAAGAATCGATTCAGTAAAACTGGAGATATCATGTCAATCACAGCAAAAAATTCGTTTTGAGAAAAACGCGTTTCAGTTCCCACGACATAAAGAACATCTCAAATTTAGGAAAGAATTTTAATTTTGAAAAATCCTTTAAGGGAGATTTGAATTTTTGAATATTTAAACTATCGAATTATGAAGACAAAAATGTATTTTTTTTAATCAAATTTCCACACTAGAATCTATTTCTTTATCAGTTAGCTGAGAAGCCGCTAAAAACTTTGGAAAATTAATGTCTTTTTAACTAAACTGAAATTGCAATTCATGGCTCCACATTTATTTATTTAAAAATTGCTTGTTTTTTCAGGAAAAGAACTCGTTTTACAACGTTTCGTGCATTTTAACTCTCCCACCATATCAGCGGAAGGGCTACGGGCGCCTACTGATTGACTTCAGTAAGTATAATTAATATATGTACATACAGACATTTACATACATAAATGTTGATTACGAATTATGAGTATAATTTTTAGTTTAAATATTTTAAAGGAAGAGTCGTAAGTGCATGTGTGGCATAAAGTATAGTATTTGCTATGATTTTGCTGTAGACAATACTTAGGTTACACACGTACGTTTCTAGAGATATAATATAAACCACCAAATTTTGTTATATACAAGTATTTCATTATTTATTATTTTTCTCCCGTAAACTATTTTAGTTTTGCATTTTCGTCAGTTCCATTATATTTCGTTATAGTCTCCAACGGTCTTCGTGTAGGAGGAAGAGTTATTATCCATTAGCGAATGTTGGGTCCCAAGATGGGTGATGGAGTTGCGAATAGTTCGCTCAGTAGGTCATAAGCTATTGAAAAACTACCTTTACTTGGATTATAACTATTGGTGAATTACTGTGAAAGCTCGCAAAGAGATTTTACTTCCAAACTTCTTTCAAGTCTAATTTTTGTTTTTGTATTATTTTTCAAATGTTTTCTTAATGCCTGACTAAGAGATAAATAACTCACAAGTTCAATCAAAATCCACAATTTCTTCTCTTGAGACCCATACTATGTATATTCCTCTGTTTGTTGTAATTGATATTGAGTAATATCGGCTTGTTGACAATGCTTTATCGTATATAAAATCGACTCCGTCCCGTTTGGTAAACTCGACTTTTGTAGGAACCCATGCATTGTATCTAGAACCAGTTGCCCGCTGTGGGTGGAAGCATCCTATACTCTTACAATGCATTGCAGGAATACAACATTACGAAGTCCAAAAATCGCATTCTCCTAAACTCCGCTAAATTTTATTATTGTATTATGTACTGTGATTAGTCACTTTATTCATAAAAATATGAAAAAACAGTAAATAAGCTGATGAGTCAGAAATGCAATTCAGTAAAGAGTCAGCTGCTCAGTTATTCATTTCCAGACATTTTCGCAAATTATTGCCGCCAACATAAGTACATATATATTTTTCCAAAGGCACGTATTTATTTATACACATTCATTAATAAAAATTATTAATAAAATTTTTGTTTTCTACTTGGAAAATTCATTGCTAAGCCACACCTACTGCTGTCATTGCAACTGCTTTGGTTTTCGGCTCTTTGATGGAGATGTGTTGTTCGACTATTCATACAAAGTGTCTGCAAGAACACCATCAAAGACAGAAATGCAGTATAATGCGAAACACCCATGCATACATGATTATGTATTATATTATGAGTAAAATTCTGTGGCAAATATATACCCGTCCGACCCAAAAGGAAATTTTGGAGGGCTTCTGGACAAATCTCTGCAATATAAAAAGCAAAGCAAAAAATAGTTTTTTGTTTTGAAATATAATATTATTGGATTTGTATGTTAGAAAACTACAGTTCGACTAATAGTTTCGCAATCGACTCTACGCAGCCGAAATTGTTTAGGAGCTCTATTCTGATCAGTTGCCACGAATATTTCTTAAACCTATACGGGAATGCTGCTTTTTACAGCAACCACATATCCAATATTTTTACGACTACTTGGCAGTTTTGGTACAATATAATACTTTTCTCCACGCCTGAGTGCTTGTTTTTCCAGCAGGGCTTAGCAATGCCCGCGTACGTGTATAATCTTACATATTGCTGTATCGCCGCATCGCCGCATCGCCGTCGTTCTTTAACCGATGCCCATCCCTGCTCATTGAATGCATGTGAATCACAGTGCAGCGACGGTGCAACGCCTGACAATCACCAGCCCTAACAACAAGAACAAAGGCGAAAACATCGGCATACCTTGCCGGCTTGCCAATTTGCGGACTTGTCGCCTCGTCGCTTTTCCTTGTTACCGTGAGCCGTCGACTGGGTGTAACGTGCTTGCCTTGCGTGTACATATGTATGCATGTATATACGTGTATGGTGGCGGTCGTTTGTTGGCGCTTGTTGTTGCTTCGCCACACACAGACTGGGCATACGTCTGCGGCAGAGACGTACAGTGTTTCGTTTCGTTTCAGGCGACATTGACCTTACACCACTTCACATTGCTGATATTCTCGTGTTTATACCCAAACTCATGTTTGGGCTTATATGCCATTGCGAGATACTAATTTAATATATGCTCTGCACGAATATACTACATATGCATGCAAAGGTAATATATACATATTTACCCTCACACACACACACACACACACATGCACATACAATGTGTAGATAGGTATGCAGAAAAAGTCATATATCAGTCGTAGCGCCATATCTGGCCGTTCGTGTGGCGTTCAGATCCACTCTGGCGTGCGGTCTGCACTTACCGGCCTTTGTTGTTGTTATGCGCCAGCTCAGACAGCCGATACATACAAATTCAATCGTTTCCCGGGCCCAGGCAGGGTCTTTTTCATTGCTCAAATGCGGAAGGAGAATCCTTAAAAAAAGTCTTCATAAATTGCACAAAAGTATTTGATACATACAAACACATATTCACACATACATATATACATATATACACCGATTGCTATGTCAAGTCTGCCAAATTTTGTGCAGTTTTTTATTAAAATTTTTATTTGTATAACTTTATTATTTGCATGCTCGTGTTTCATGAAAATTTGATCTTAAATTCACTAAATAAATCGAAAAAAGCCAATGCAGTTAGCTACACGTAGATACATACATATATATGTATTTGTATACCCATATACTTAAGTTCAGCTAGTGTATTAGGCTTCGGAACTGCTTCCAAGGTCATGTGAATACCACTTGGACAATCGAACTCCGGTAATTTTCGTGTCAACAACTCCTAGGTATGGATCGAGGGACTCTGATGTTTTGATGAAGATAATTTCGATTCCAGTCAATTCAGTCTTAACTTAAACTATGACATTGAAAATATTTCAAGGGAGAAAGTGTGGAAATGCTTTTACTTAACCTTTTTCGGTACTTTTTTTCAACACATGCTTTACGATTATTTAAAATTGTCAACAGCCATTTCATCGAACTTTGGAGTTGGTCCGAAGAATTGGTTTTTCACGTTCGGAAAACTAATTTCCGGTGCACTAGGCTAAAGCGGTGATTAACTCAATAAAAAAACAGGTGAAAAGAGGCTAAGATTGGGTGTAACCGAGCATTTTATACTCTTCTAACTGGCAAGGTTCAAAGCCTTGGAAACATCTTCAAGTGTTGGCTTGATTTCATCCATTTGAGTCAAGAAGATATACTCTTTATTAGAAATAGATTATTTTTGAATTTCATTAAAGTTTCTTAAGTATTTATGCTAGGTATATGGGTGCTATGGAAAGCCTTCAACCTATTGTACCCATTTTTGGCACAAGCTAAAATTCGATTTCGACTTTTTTGGACGTAAGCTTAAATACCTTGTCTATTTGTGCAAAGTTTTATTCTCATAACTTCATTAATGTTTGATTTGTATACTGCAAAGGTGTAGGTGGACTTGTCGTCCGCCCATTTTAACAGTGTCTAGTAGGAAAGTTTGGGTAACCTCACACACCAAATTTTGGTTGAAATCGGTCTGGTAGTTCCTGCAATTTCACCTAAAATGTTGGGATGCCAGCTTTGGTTAGGTAGGTTGATTGACCCTTCGTTTGAGTAGCTTGAGGACGTAAAACTTTACGTTGATGGTTAGTCCAGGAAGAACAACTCATAAAGGACGATGCCTTTGATGACAAAAAAGACAATAAGCATCGTTTTCATTTTGGATTTGCTCATTCATCGACGACCTCTTCCTGAAAATTTAAGAAGAAGCAATTCCAGTATTAGCCGAGGTCTACATTTGAAGAACAAAGGTTCGATGGGCGTATATATAATGTGTATATTATGAGTACTCGTACTGGAGTCTACACCTCTGCTATTCTTATTGTTAGACTATCAGTGGGCGCTGCTTATTTTGCCTATCGGAAATACTCTTTTGGGTTTGATATCCTTCCATGAAAGACGAAAGCCTCTAAAAAAGCTTGATTGCTAATGAAAGCAAACATTGTCATGCCGAGGGTTTGAACACTCTACCCTCCGTATGAATGCTTTTCTTACGTTTTAAAATGAGTTTTATTTTACATTCATGCGTGCCAACCGGCTTGTCTTTGTGACTAAGTGCGTACAAAATTGTTGGTGTTGAAGTGTTTATCCTCATTGACGAAAAGTTAGTTCTTTGTTGTGCCGGAGCAATGCAAATTTGGCAAAACTCGCGTTTATTAATAAATCTACAATGCGTTATTGCGTTCTTATTTTATTGATTTGCGGAATTGTCATTTTGTTTGTGTTGACAGTGGTGGCGACGGCGGTGGCGGCGACGTTGCTGCCTGATGACGGCGAAGTACATAGTGTTGAGCAGACAACAAAGGTCAGGACAGGTCACAATGAAAGGGCGTCGTCCTTGTTATGGTACAGACAGCAAATGCTTCGCCGAATACCGGTTACTTGTGAATTCAGCTGTTTAGCTGCGTAAGGGCATTTCATGCACATATAATGCATAACAAACCTTTACCAAACATGGAATTGGCAAAATTTGATACAATTTGGCAAATTAGCACAGGAACTGTGACGGCACAATCGGCAGCGAATACGTTTATACGAACTTTTGTACCTTCAAAAGCATTTTAAGCATATTTCTTGGCGTCAATTAGCCAATAGGAGTTTTTAAAGCATACTTCTAGGCGTTTAATACCATGTAGTCCTGATAGCTGCTTTTTCTGCAGTCACCGCTCAGTCGCTTAAACTGAGTAGTCGGTTCTGCACTTCGGCTTAATAACACTTTTGGCTATGCCTGCACATGGATCGATAAAGTCGTCTCGTCGTTCGTCCACATGCCCATGCCGCGCTTATACGCGTGCAAGTGCTGTTTTGTTTGCATGTATGCATGGGCGTATGTGCGTGTGTATGTGTGCAGACTTCAGTGCTTGTGTGCTGGAAAGAAAAATCAAAGCAGCCTTGCTTTCGTTGCCTTACGTAGTAGTATTACGCGCACTCGGGGTGTACCACCATGCGGGCGTGCAACCGGCTTTGGGTGGGTATGTGGGTGAGCGTTCGTCTGCCGCGAAATGCAGGACAGGGTGTGGCAGAGCAGAGCAAGCGCTGCAGCAGTGGTGCTGCAGTAGACATGGCTCGCTCGTGTTGTTGTGCGGTGCAACGCACAGAAAGAATTCAACCCCGTTTACCGTTTGAGACTTGCACAGCAAGTTTAGTGTTAAGGTGAGTTGGGGTTCCGCAGAACTTCAGACGCCAACCGCCAAAAGCATGAATTGCTACAACACAAACCCTACAAAGCACTACCCCATACGCTGCGGTGGCAAATGTAATTCGCTGACAATGTACAACTCTTTGTGTGTATGTATGTAGGTGTGTTTGTATGTGTATGCCACAAAGTAAGGAATATTATAAGCTGTGCCGCAAACATATCGGCAAACACACGCACGGACATATTAGGTGCGTGGGTTGAATGGACGCTTGCTGGCGCTGTCGCAAAGCTTTTTGCAAAAGTTGAATGACGGAATAGAATTGTGCTGTTCCTGCAACATTCGTCCGCTCGTCCAGGGTTTTGCACGTTAAAGCGTTGTAGTATATAAATAAAAGTATTTGTATATCGACATTTTAAGTACTCATCCTTAAGTTTGGTCTGTCTAGACGCATGTGGATGGCGTTTTATTAACGGGGAATGACAAAGTTGGTCAAAATGCGGGGTTGAGGAGTGCAGCAGACAGGCAAAAAACATTATTCATTGAGTTTGAGGGTAGACACGTGATGCCAAAGAACTTGAAGGCGTTCACACGATGACCCTGTACTCTCACTAGTTATAATACAAATGACAAGAGTGTTGTATGGAATTGTATTTTAACAATTTTTATCATTTCTTGTTTATTCACACTTACATAGGTTACCTTCTGACTAGAGTGGAGGGCAAAATTGGATCGCCGGAAAAGCCACTGTCGGACTTGGGTTTGATATCTTATCGGTCTTATTGGAAAGATGTGTTGCTGGATTATCTGTGCACGCGAACCGGAAATACCTTGAGCATTAAAGATGTATCGCAGGTAATATGCGCAGCATGAAAAATAAAATATTTTTTTATTTAATATATATTGTTATAAATTGTGCAAACTTACAAAAAATCAGTCCATAAGAATTTTCTACTGCTTACTGATTATTCTTCGTTCTTTATTTCTAATGTGCAGGAAACGGCAATATATTCATATGATATCGTGAGCACTTTGCAAGCCTTAGGCATGATGAAGTACTGGAAAGGAAAGCATATCGTACTTAAGAAGCAAGTGAGTATATACCGACATAAATGAAAAAAATATAATTAATTAATGTTCAAAATTTTCTAATTTAGTTTATTGAGGCCTTAAAATAATTGACAATAATTTTTTAATTTAGTTTATTGAGCCTTTAAATTAATTAAAACTAATTTTCTCATATTATTTTTCTTGTAATTTAAGGATGTACTCGACGAGTACGAAAAACGTGTTAAGCAAAGGGGCAATTTTCCAAAAATCGACGACAGTTGTCTGCGCTGGAGCCCGTTTGTTCCAACCCAAACTAATAACTCCCCATAATAGTAGGTCCTAACTTCTCGTACGGAGGCGATAGTCATCATCTACGTGCACTGATTAATATAGTTAATAAATATAATTTTATGATCAGACCGTGGTTTGGCAACAGTGTATATATTAAGCTGCGACTTAACTTATTGAATACCGTACCAATATTTATCGTGTCAACTCACTCTCATAGAGAGTCATAGTGCAAGCCACTCGAGTGGAAGTGATGATCTCCACTATCACCGTTCTTTGCGTTCTTTATAAGCTCTGAACTCTCTTTAAATTAAAAAAAATCCTTATATCGAATATGAATGGCGTTCAAAACAATTGCACAAACATTGTATATAGTATATTAGTAAACCAAATATTTAGATAATTATTAGTGGGAGATTGTCCACTCAACAAATCATTCACGATTTTTAACAAGCAAAATTGATATTGTTAAATTTAAAATATTAATTGTAAAATATGTAATGTGTAAATATTGAAATCTGTATATATAATTGATAGTTAATTTAAAGTATGATGATAAATCTTTTTACAAATTCATTAAACTGATTGCATTTTTAATTTTATCCAAATTGCGATTTCTTTATAAAAAAATTTGTATCTATTAGTATTCGTATGAATGTATCATTCAACCTCATAAATTTCTTGAGACGATATATTTTTGATCGAAAATTTGTTGTGCGGATACCATACTTTTTGATCTTTAGCTACAGAATTGAATATATTGGAACATTGCTCCGAACCATTTACAGCTGTCTGCTAGTAAACATTAAAATTAAACTGTTTCCCGATATTATGTAGATATAACGCTACCCAAAATGGTGTTTCACAATCCAGTACCATTTAGTTTTATTCTATACATAACAATATACTTCTTGCAACATCTGATAAAAGGGTTCCCGAACAGATGTTGATCTTCCAAAAAATTTTTATTTATTTTATTTTCAGTTTATATTCACTAAAATACTTAATTTGGCTTATTTGAGGTGCAACATATTTGAAGATAAAAATTTCTATCTGTGATCTCGTTAGCAGAACTGTGAACTCCAAACATTCACGTGAAGGTCATCAAGTTATATTCGAATTGATCAACGTCTATATAATATCATGCCTTTGTAACTCAATATTTTGTTGTTCTAGCGGGTACCTAGTTCCCGTTAGAATGGTAAGAATTAGCTAAATTATCGTCGACGTCATCTAACGGAAGGTACAAGAAACATGCTGTTTCGACGGGGTCGATGATTGGGGTTGATAGGCATGTAAAGAGGTGGGCAGTGCTGCTACAGTATAAAGAACGAAGCTGCGCAATGGTCATTCTCGTTTCTCGCGGCCACTCGAGCTCTTCGTCTGCGATGGGTGGTGGTTTGACTCCGAGTGAGCCATTCACAGGAAGACGGTCGGTGAATGGTCATGATGTCTTAAGGTTAACTTAATGATCTAAACTGACCAAATGTATATCGTAGATCAAAAAGTACTCTATAGAAACAGTTGCAATAATTTCTAAATATTTTATAACCCAAACTTATTCGAAATATGTATATACGTACATATACTTGTAGTTTTGCAGGTAAGGTAAAAAATTTTGATACTGATTTTTGAAATATTAAGAATGGTGTAAGCAATGATTCACAGCAGATCAGTGATTAGTCGGTTGGGGAATGATAAAAGATCGCAAGTTCGTATTTCGAATAAATAACAATTTTACGTTATGTCTACACCAATATTTTACGTACTTTTCACGTTCTAATGCAAGGTTGGGGAAAAGATGTTTCGGTACATACTATACTTCTATGCATACGTAATTAACAATTAATTATTGAATAATTATTATGAATTGCAAAATCTTTTTTCTTAAAAACCTTTTTGGTATGGTTTTTAAGCACTGCTTCTTGAAATCAGCTGACGATTTTGGTTGGGACTCTCTCATGCCATAGAGCCGGCTTCAACGTCAACTTCCTTGTGTTAACGAAACTTTGTGGCTCCCCCTCACTAGAATTGCATTTAAAGCAAAGACATGCATGTGCAACCGTTGCAAGTGAGAAAACCTCGCATTCGCCATACGCATGTAAACATTCGTGCATAATCGGGTTTCGGCGCTTGCTCACTACCCTTTACAAACAAAGCGGCAGCAGGAGCAGGAGAAGAGCAACAGAATCAGAAAGAGCAAACTTAAATACACCAAGAATATGGTCATAACAACGGTCGTGGTGGTTATGGTTATGGTGGAAATGATGACGATGACGACGACGACGACGATGACGATGACTTAGTGGCTGCAATGGAGTCGCTGTGGCAGAAGTAGACAGAAGCAGCGGCGTTAACAGTGGCAGTGGCAATGCCGATGGCATTTGTTGTCCAACAAGAAGTATCTGCCAGACAGGAGACGTGCGACGGGTTTCGTTACAAGCGGCAACCAAATGAGTAAAAAAATGTGTGTGTGCCACTGTGTGTATGTATGTGAATGGTACATACAAAAGGTATATAGCAAATAATATGAAAAAAAAACAGCGATTACCGGCATTGACAAACGACAGTGGGAGAAATACTCGCTCGGTCTCCGACACTCTGGCACTGACAGTATCTACACACTTGATTTAGAATTGGGTAGCAGCTAGCTCTCTGGACGCAAACACAGACGAAGCAACGACAGAAACATACATATGAACACATATTTCCTATACATATTAACATTCAGTATGCAAGTAGAGACACCACGAAGCTTACTTGTAAACGCGAACCGAAAGAAATTTTATGGCAAATTGCTGGCTCTGGTTGCTTTTGATTGAACAGCGGCACCGAGTAACACTCATTTGATCAGACACAGCCGGTCTGAACGGTTCGTCTTAAAAATAGTCGCTCGACGTCAATTAGCACACAGTGGTATTCACAAACATAGAAAGAAATTTACTTACCAAAGCATTCAAACTGGAAGCAGACATCAAGAGTTAGTCAGTTACTCAGTTAGTTGTTAGTCACAACAGTACACCAGATGGCCAAGCAGTTATTTAAGGTCGTCGCCGAGTGCAAACGCCGATGACAGACAGCTGATTTTCCAAATGGTAGACATAGAGGGGAGTGACGCTATAACAAAAACTACACACAATTTGCTAAGGATCAGTTGGAAGTGCTGTGGGCGTTGTTTACACGTTTCGAAAATGAGTTTAAAAAAAAGAACAGAAAAAAACGCAGACTTATCGGATATTTTTTGGCATTGTTTAAATATTGAAAGTATTTCCATTGTTGCCGTGTGTACTTGTTTGCACTGTTATTATCGTCATCGTCATATGACGGGCGGTATTGCGGCAAACGACAAATGGGCATTGTGCACTGCGGTTCAGTGCTTGTGCACATGTATTATATATTTGGCTGCATGTATGTACGTTTGTAGTGCAAAGTATGTATTTTGTATGGACTAATGTGTATATAGGCGGCGACGTCAGTCTGAATGTGTTCGTGTTCTCGCCAAATAGACTTGTGTTGGTGCGCGTATACGTGAGCCAATGAAGGAACGGCCAACAAGATAGAAAAGTGAAGACAATTCAATCGGAAGTGCACTTCGACCGGAAAAAGCAAAGGAATTGTGAAATTCGACGAGGATGGCCCCCAGCTTCGGCCGTGGTAAGGCACTTTACAGTGCACGCTGTGCAACAAAAGCGGTGGAAAACTTCGAATTATATTGCTTGTGACGATGGAAATTTCCCGATCAGTAAGCAAGCAGTCATACAACGTATTGGTCTAGGAAATCCTGATGGCTGATTATTATTACTTGATATCAGCCTTTCTCTGGTACTACGTATTTTTCCCACTGGTGACTACATAGACGCTGACGCAAGTGTATAAGTTGCCGGCGTTAAAGAATCCACACACCCGCCCAGCTGACACAAAAGTCGAAACTGGTGCCACAATGACAAGCGCCGCAGCAGCAGCATATTTAAAGCAAAATAGCAAAGTTTTGGTGATAAACACGAATCCGATTTAGCAGCTAAATAGTCGGTAAATAAACATATAGTACATCTATGTGTGATACGAGCAATAAATCATGTATTTATATGCATAAGTATGTGCGTGTGTGCGACCACATAGAGATATGCAGAGGAATGTAGAACATATGTGCAGCGACGTATTATTGCTCATCTTTTGCCAGCAGAAGAATATTGCAGAGGGATGGACGAGGTGCCGGCTGAACGACATCATGCGAGTATTATGTAGAAAATGGCCAGGAGGAGGACAGCGCAACTCACATGTTTGAACGACATGTATCTGAAAAATTAATTTTAGATTGTAGATTGCTAAAAGAGACAGTAAAAAGATTGAAAAGTCGTGTATAGATCGTGATTTCATACGAAAAGTGGTGGCATATGCGAAATAGGAATGCGGTCGTTCGAGGGAAAGACAGCACCAAAATCAAAAAAAAAAAAAGAGAAAAAAAGGCAGAAACCGAACCATAGAAAATGGCATAAGTGACGACAACACAGAACGAAATGCGAAATTCTTGAGTAAGGGAGCATGCGAATATGTGAGTTAAAGTGCAAAATACTGCCGAAGGAGTATAACTTTAATTTCATCTTTTTTGCTTAATGTTAGAATGGTTAGTGCCACATAAACGTTTACTATGTATCTGAGTAAGTGGTAATGGAGTGAATGTCTGCTTTCGTTTTATAAACGCGAATGGGACAGAGAAATCTCGTCATTTAACTTATTGAAGAGAAATTCGAGCGCATAGAAAGATTACACAGTTTAAGTATAGGTTGAAATGTTTAACTATATGTATATTGTGTATTTGTATGCTTATTCATATATCCGCATGTCTGTCCGTGTACTTAAATTTGACGTTAGAAACAGTCTTTTGTTCTTTTGCTGCTACCTCTGATTTTTCACCATGCGGCACAAAGTGCCACCCATACTTGTACGCACATAATATTATATGAACGCAAACGCAAATACAAGCCCAAAGACCGAATACCGAACCAGATGGAAGACAATGGAGGCAGACAACGGCACAGTGACCGGTCTGAAAGTTTTGCGAAGTTGAGTGCAAACAGCTGTAGCTGTGTCGGAGTGCGCATGGAGCATATGCACACATGCATACTAAAATATTCACTTATATACCATATAAATGTATATATTTGGATATATTTGCATATATGTATATGTTTATGTATGTATGTGTTTGTGCTTGTGCGCTTATGCGTGGCATTCACTGCTGATTCGTCACTTTACCGCTAAGTTCGTTTAATATGACTTATAATCGTTTTTTGTACACTAACTCCATTCATTTGCTGTAATGTGTATATGAACTGGTATGATTTACATATTTAGATTTATTTGTATATTAAAATACATTTCGTTTGCAATATGCAGTGGACATGAAAAAGAGCCAGCGTGTTTAAAAAGCTCATGTGAGCGACAAATCGTTGGCATGAGAGAGAGAGAGAGAGTGTGTGTATGTGTGCAATTTGTAAAGTTTTTGTTGTAAAATATGGTGGGTCCATTGCAGGCAGACCGTGAACATCCCGATGCATCATCGTCTGCAACATCATCATCATCGCCATTATAAATGACTTCGTTATTGTTGCCGGCATGCAACGACTTTTTATAATTGTACATACCCACAGCTGAAGACGTACATATGTATATATATACTAATATATAGAAGTGTATGTGTGCTTGCTACGCCCTGCCGGTAGTCGTGCAAACTCCAGCTAAAAAGATTATTGCGCTTGGGCCCCACCCAAGTAAACGAAACGCACATACATWCATACATATTCATCCTTTCGATAGTACGAATATAAATTTAATTATGTACGTATATTTCAGAGATTATTTACATACATATAGGTAACCTCTTCTCGTCTGTTGTCTGCCAAACATTTCCGAAACTCGAAGCAATTCGCCAAAGCACGTTCGGCTTAAGTCAAAGAACCTTGGATGTATTGAAGTCAGCATTGTGGGGTACACTGCATATACGCATGCCTGTATATATCTATTTGTGGGTATACGTTTGCGCGACATTCAAAATATTGGCAATTACTCATTATAGTACTCAGCGCAATCGCGAACTGTCGTCATTCCAACCATACATCCGATGTGCGAACCAAGTGGCTCGGTTTTCACTTAGGTCACCGACTGCGCCAATACATATGCACACACACACATACAAGCATATGTAAATACGTAAGCCGAAATTCAGCAAAATAACTACTTTGTGAAAAAAAGTTCAAATCAAATCGAAAATGAAATACGAGCACCATTCAATGTGTGTGGCAATATCTCGATGCCTACCAGCCAACAATTTTCGGCACTGCGCGCCTGGCTTTATGTCTAACTAAATATTGCTTACGTATTCACGGTTGGTCTTGGTGGTAACACGAAGTGTCGCTGCCACCACAAGCAAGCAACAATTCAATTAGAACCACGACTTCTTTACAATGCCATTGAAACTTTGAAACGCGCACACCTTCCGCTAAGAATTTGCCGAAATTCAAGGCTTCAAACAGCAAACACATCCATACACATTTACTTTTTACATATTTGCCCCTATGTCTTGAAGCATCGAACGTGTTCACATGTTAGTGGTCGCTCGCAGCACTCGCCTCCGTCTTGCTTTCAGCTGCTCAACAGACGATTACCAAGTGGAGAGGTGGCCAGGCTTCGACTGGTGTCGTTCGGGCTCCAACAAGAGGATCGTGGCACTGCTGATCGGTGGTAGTGTGTAGCCAACCAACAGCTGTCGCTGATCTGCCGAGCGCTTTCAAGCGTAAAACAAATTTTTGGCAAAATGAAAAATGCGAAATTTTTACAATACACAAAAACTTAATATACATACATACAGACATATTTGCATGCCAGTGTACAAGTATACATATATGCTTGTAGTCGTAAGTAGCGAGCGGGGGGGTAATGAAAATTTGCAAATCGTAATTCGCAAAGCACGCGGATCGCAGTGAGTACACAACTCGCGAAGCGTGATCTGAAACTTTGCGAAATTTTCAAGTAAAAGCAATATGGCAGCCGCAGAAGTCGGCACAGTACAAAAGTCTGCCAGCAGTTGATGAGGTGTGTGCCGTCTTCGTAGCGGCGGAAACAGCTGAACACGAACACATATACGTAGACGATTTACCTAAGGAAAAAGAATACGACGACGAAACAAAGACAAAGACGAAGAAGTTTTGCCGAACGAAGAAGGAGAAGTCAAAAACTAAACAAAATAATACAAACATAAATAGATACGTGAGCGGAAAGCTGAAGTTGAAGCTCAAGCGCTACTTTAATGTGTGCGTCCGCTGTTACCTATGTATGTATGTATGTATCTATATCCGAATCATACCCAACGAAAAAATTTAACCAACAAACATACACATACATATGTATGAATCCCGAAGGTGCGTGTGTAGTGGGGCACGTGTCGTTCGTAGATACTCATTAAATCGTGTTATTTTATTTTTTATTTATGCCTGTTTTTGTGCTCTCTGGAGAAAGAGCACAATCTCGTGTATATACATACATATGTGTGTGCACTCGGTTATAAATGAATAATTGCAGCACACTGTGCTTGAAATCAAAAAGCTACTCTCATCGGAACAGACAGCACCAACGGCAGTCGGCAAGCAACGTCGTAGCGCACAGCGATCGCCTTTATGCCGATGTGTTTGTGAGTAAAATTCAAAACTGTTTTAATTTTGTTCTTTTTCAGCTTTTTTTTTTTTTKTCACACACACCGATTCGTAGCGGCAACGTACGAATTTGTTTGCTAGCACGACCAACGACATCGTTTGCTTAGTAACAGCTTTGAGCCCGGACGGCCAATACCTCCTCCTTCGATTAGTCGTACGGTCGAACAGCTGGTCGGTGAAAAAATGGGAAACTATGTGGCCCGCAACTATGAGATCGGCATCTGCGACAGAGKAGAGCAATACAAATTTAGAATATCAGGGCCGCTACGTCTTCTGGCATTGCAAGTGTATTAGAGACGAGCGGACTGCATGGGAAATACACACGGTAAATCTGCAGGATAAACTTCGTGACTTAATTGGCGGAAGTTGAATTCAGTGTTAAATGAGCGAACGAGTAGCGGGTTCACGGAAATGCCGACCAGATGATGTCATGAGACAGTGCCCGTGTGAACGGTTTGCCAACAACTTCGTACTTTGGTATGTATGTACATATGCTGTGCGTATGTTTGAAAATGGGAAGTCTACGTGCATACATCATCGGTTATGATATACTATATACTATATATATATATATGCATATATTTATATACATATATATATATATATATATGTGGTAAAATACGTGTGTGTGTGTGTCCTAGACCGTTCAACAAGTAATTTATGGTGCCAATTAGTCAAGAAAGACCATTTGCATAATTTCGTGCTCTGCACTCGGAGCCAGAGGAATAGTGGGCAGCAAACTCAAGCCAATACTTAGCAGTCAGGTGTTGAGGGAAGCAAAACATATACATATACATACATGAATTTTTACAAATACGAATAGCTGAAGAGAGGCGAGCAGTATAACTTACCACAGCTAACAGCTGCCGGGGAGGTGTTAATGTGGCTGTGTACTTTCGTACACCGATACTGCAAGCATTTGTTTAGGTGTGAGTGCAGAGCGCGCATAGGTGAAAATAATGACATGACTAATTTAAAATTCCACACGAAGTTCGATATCTACATTTTTTTTTCTTATTATTCTTTTCAATCCGTCGATCAGGTTGAATACGAAGCAAGTCATCTTGATAACGAAGCAAATTCCAACTCCAAGCTTCGTTGATTACATGCAGAAATTAGTGAACGAAATTTGCAGAAACTCTCACACCCATTTATAAGAATGGCAAAGCGAGAGAATATGACGACAACTGGTGGTCAAAGAGACCCGCACACAAACGAAAAAGCTAAATACTTTGTGGTAAACTCTTTGAATGTGAGAGCTGGCAAGGTAATAAATAAAGAGCGACTAGTGGACGTGAGTTAATGATACCCAATTAGCTCGCCAGTCTGTCAGCTGGTAGTTTTGCCGGATGTGATGAGCACAGGTCGGTCGACTGGTGAGTAGTTGTTTGCTGAATTTTCACACACAAATCGCGAACTGGTGTGAGACAGCAAAGAGAGCAAGCCTTGGTGAAAGAAATGTGCTGTGAAAAGAGAATATATGCATACAATTGGGCATATTGGTGTGTATATGTGTATGAAGTTATCCGGAGACCATTCATGGGGCGCTAACGAAGTTGAACCGCAGATCGTTAACCTTAAAGCTTCTCATGGAGAGACCACAAGGTCGTTTCCTTTGTATGATCTACTGCGGTCGACACCAGGTTGTGCCACGGTTACGCGTTGGCCAGATGAGTGGGTAGGTACAAATGAACGAGCTGAAGCACGTACATATGACCAATATGTATGAATGTGCATGCAGTCATTCGGAGTCACGCTGAGTAATCGTGCAGCCAAGTACAACTGCTGTTGCCAAGTGCATTTGCAGCTGCAGTTCAAGTGAGTGAGATCGCATGTTTAATGCTATGCAGACATCCGTGCATTTTTGATGCATATTCCATTTATTTATTTATTTATTTATTTTTTTTTTTTGATAA